CCCCCCCCCCCCCCCATGAATTCGTTTTCATAACCCAACTTGGATGGGTCTCTTTTTTGGTTTTAAGTTGGTCCTAGGGGAATTGGGCTTCCTTCTACTTTTCAGCATTAAAAATAGCGGATTCCATTGGAGGCCCAATTAATAACTTATTTTCTTCAAGTCATCCAACTTTTAAGTTAATGCAATGTAGTCCTTGACTTCCTCCATTGTGCAATCAACATCCTCTTCAATTTTCCAAATGTTGAATTTGATCTTCAATATTGCATCCATTAGCCAATTTATTATTCATCCTTTCCAATTGGCTTGTCGCAAAAAACAAACATAAAATTAACACAAGTTAAATAGAAATTAATAAATTAACGACATAAAAACTTAATAAAATAGTATAAATAAGTGCACAAATTGCACTAAATAACAACCTGATTTTTGAATGTCTAATACTAATTTCTTAAAAATGAAATTATACATTGTAACCATCTTATTTATGTATTGTTCCCCTAAAAATAGAAAGAAAAATAGAAGGTTGGTCTTCCCAACTTTTCAGGTAATGTGATTTGAGTCCCAATCTTTGTGAAATTTTGGATTCTGAAGCTATTTGTATCTGATGATTTTGGTCCTGCACTTCATGTGAGTTAAAATTGAATGTTAAGTAATTTGAAGCTTCGGTTAAATAAAAAGTGCACACACTTTTAATTTTCACATTGATGATGAATATAAGTAAAATTATAGTCAAATAAATTGGATCCCGCTCCCTTGAAACTAAACCAGGTAGAGTAATCAGTAAGGTTCCATCCTTGGCAGGATTTTAAAGTATTGAAAAATGGATTAAATTAAGTGCACTATAATTTTATTTCCCCCACCAACAGAAGATTATATATTATTAGATTGAAATTATTTGTTCTATGTTTAGATATTCCCTTACCACTAATATGAATATATACTTTTTACTCAGTTAAGCATTGTAATCCTATATTCACCCATGTTTGAATCATTATTTGGAAACTGACCAACTCCCGATTTTCAGCTCGACTATAGAGCCAGGCAGGTCGGTCTAGTAACACCCTAATCTGTGCCTTTTACGAGGAATTGCTGCCAGACAGGTTCGTCCGTCTGTCATTTTTTCCCTTTTGTCATTATCCTATTGATTACTGCCAAGTGTCTTCTGGTGGAATTCTGACTGCCATTTTCTGTACATGCAGCAGATCTGTTTACAATCTATAGAATAATGCTATTATGTCACGCTATTGCAGAATACAAAACACCACCTTTGATGCAGGATGAATTAAAAAATAGAAAGAAGAAGCAAGAAAGAGGGAAGAACCGAAGAGAATGGGGGAGAAATCGGAGAAGAAACAGAAATTCATGGGGGAGAGGGAGAGGGAGAGGAAGGAGAAACCATAGGTAATAAACCACCAAAATATTCTTCAATTCATCAATACTAATGAAATTACATCGTAAGTAGGTTTAAATAGTAAAGACTAAAACCCTAAGTAGAATGGATTTGGGCCAACACAAGCCCAATTACATAAATAAAATCTAAAACATAAAAAAAGTCCAACTAAAAATAAATAAAAAGTAGATGTCCTCATCAACTCTCCCGGGGTGGGAGAAAAACTCGACCCTGTTGAGTTGATAGTTAGTATAGGCTGCAATCAATCTGATACTCTAAATGCGTCAAGTCAAGCCACAGGGGACGATCTTTCTGACGAACCAAGTAACGAAATTTCATAATTGATAGTGCTGAAAACTGTAGCTTATTCCTAAGAATATGATCTGATCAAAAGGGGCAATCTTTCCTTCTAACCAAGTACTGATATTGGACTCCAAATAACCAATACTCATGCACTTCATCTTCAAGATTTACATGATTGTATATAATGAGGAGCATAAGAAGCACGTTGATCTACCCACCAAATAAGAAAGTACTCAACATTGCCACAATTGGTCAATACAACACGTTCATCTAAAATAACATCAATTTTATCTCTGTGTGCTATGACAGATGGTATTGACTAGACATATCAAAAGATTCAGTGTAAGAATTCCCTTGTAGAGGTAGAAAATGATCATTAAAGGGGTAAAAATAGTTTTTGTAAGTAACGAAGTCCTTAACAGTTAAAATAGTGTGGTAACCAAAATATGATAAAAGATCAACGATACATGTATTTGAACCAACATGTTTTAAAATTTTAGAAGGACCAGCACTATGGGCTTGCAATATAACATAATTCCCAATATTAAACTCAAAATGCCGGTTATGCAAATCAACTTGAAATTTATATAATGCATTACTTGTGTCAAGTTGTTTATTGATCTCAATATGCAAGTCATGAAGGTGATGTGCAAATGCTTCAGCTAATATCGACACACTAGTATATGGGAACATGGAAATAAGGTCTGACGATCGCCTACTCTTATAACTATGAACAACTTCAAATGGATTTAGACCTAGAGACCGATTTGCAGAATTGTTATATGCAATTTGAATAGTTGAAAGGATCAAATTCCAATTTCCTAGAGTTTCCTTGCAAAGGGCATGATTACACAAATCATCAATACCTTTGAGTGAGATAAGAGTAGGACACACAACATTTGACTGAGAGGTATCGGGAACAAGGGGTACAATACCTAAACTCATAGAAAAAGTTCGAATACTATCTAAGGGGGTATCCTCCCTATCATCCAAGTCATCAAATTCTTCAAGTTTAGGTTCATAGATTTGATTTTCTAATCGCTCATCTCTCATATTCTTTTGCTCTTCAATGAATAAGGCTCAGTTAGAACATTCAGAAGAGATGTGTCCAAAGTCCTTATAGTTGAAGCACTGCAAATGAGAAGAAGTTATTGAAGTTTCAAAATCTTGACCTTTATTGCATTAGATGGGAGAGGACCTAGAAAGGACTTAACAGGACAAGGTGGTGTTGATGAGACGAAAGGGGGAATGTTACTACGCCTTCGATACAAAGGTCTTGGGATATCATAACCTTTACACTTATTTTCCCAAATGGGAGGAACATTAGACGAGGAAGACTATGATAGACTTATAACGCGATGGTGCTGATGAGATGGGTGAACGGTGACTACGCTTTCCATACAGAGCACTAATAAGTAACTCGTAGACCCGAGTTAAAGAGTAAGCGTGATCAAGAGTAGTGACACATCGAAAGAAGAGCTCACACCTAAGTTCATCTCTTAGACCTTATATAAACCTATTCACAGTTAAGGCTTCATCCTCAATGACATGACGCTTCATTCGAAACTCCTCAAATTGAGCAATATACTCAGTCACTAATTGATTCCCTTATTTGAGGGATTCCATTGAGTAAGAATTTCAAAATCTAAGCAACCATCAAAAGTAGGAGTGTCTAATTTAGTGTCTCTAAAAGAATTCTCCTTATGATTGTATTGAAAATATTTTTGGTCACTTTGTCCACGATATTATCTATTATGAGACGTTTTAGAATTAGTGTTAGTCAAATGAGGGGTTCGCTTAAAATTGCTCAACTTAGCAGCTAGGTTCTTTCTCTCCTCACGAGTAGCAGTTATATCTAATTGGACAGTCGATAGGCTAGTGGCAAGTTGCGCTAATTGTCTAGTGAGTGCATCAAATTGGGATGGAACCATGGTCAATGTATTGGAAATAGAGAGACAAGATGACCACTACGCAACTACATGCAATGTAATATCAGCTAAATGACGTTCAATGATGAGATCAATGAACAATAAATGCAAGCAATGAAAATAACAAATTAAGCATTTTTTTTCAGGGTTAAGTAAATTCAATTATGGCAAGCTAATACTACTGATCTATGTAAAATAACAAAGCAAGGGTACAAATGACTAATCAAAAGGTCTATGCACGTGGGGCAATCGAGGAACGACAGGATCAAGTGGGGGTTTGAAGCTAAAATTATCCAAGTAGTAGCAATACAGAGAGTTAATTGATGCAATTGTAAATGAAGTAGTAGTGTAAACTAAAGATAGATAAGAGCAGTGACTCCCTGTAGTTCGGTTATGATTCCCCATACTCTGATTTATCTGAATTGCACAATAAATTGCCTCTGACTTCTCGAAGTTCGTGTAAACATATGCTCCTTGAACTTAAGTCTCCAGTTGAGTTGGGTGATTGTGGCTGCAGTGATTTAGAACGAAGCTAATGGCGGTAAAAATAGTTGTAGTGAAGTAGAAAGTGGCCTCGCAAGATGCAAATCGAGTTGACTAGTGTTGCACTTTAGAGTCCAGTCCCAGATTTGAGGTACAAATTGCTATCGAAATACTTTTCCACTTTCAAAATCCCCAAAAAGGCCAAGCCAATCATCAAACTGATGCAATGGAAGTCACTGTCTTCTTAGCAAATTGCAATGGTAGTTGCTGTACCCAAAAAGTAAAAGAACGGTTCGAGTTTGCTAGGTTATGGCTCTGCTCTGCTGGTGAGGAGGACAACTGGAAAGTAGTGCTAAAGTGGTGGCAGTTGAGTGTTGCCAACGGCGTTGGTTGGGGAAGATTGCAGAAGATAGATGGAGGAAGTGAAACCGACAAGAGAAAGCCGATTGGACTTAGGGCGTGAACGAACAAGTCGGGTCGGATTTGGGTCAGTGTGCCAGTTTAGGAGTTATACGGGCTGTTTAATTTTGTTGGTATTGACGCCGAGAGGGATTGAATCAAGGTGGAGGGAAAGCCGGCTACGAGTTAAGGCTTTAGTGAAGAGGATGGTATTTTGGGCCGGATCTAGTGGGGTTGTGGTTGGGCTAGATTTGTTTATAATGGGCTATTGATGTACTAGGAATGAGCCAGACTTGTTGTGTCAAAGCTGGGCCTGTTTATGTAGAGCTTAGGGTAATGGGTTGGGGAATTTCATTATGGGTTGGTTAGTTAGGGATCTTGTTGTAAGTTCAATGGTTTGGAATATAGGGACCGAGTGGGGTATTGGACTTTGTAGGAATTGGGAAGGTGGGCTAAGGCTTTTGATAGATGGGATTGGATTGTTGTTGGTTTATAAGGGGTGTAAATCTGTAGCGAATATTGAATAGCAGCACGGAAACTGAACATGTAGCAAATCAGATTTTGTGTGTGTGTGTGTGTGAAGCTGAAAATACTAAAATTAAATTTCCGGGTGTGAATAGTAGCCCATGAACAGTAACAAAGTTTTTTTTTATTTTTTTAATTTTTTTTTTTCTCTCAACTAAGTCTGAAAAATGAAGAAGAAAAATTGCTGCCTTTACCGAAAATCCTTTTAGTTTGTGCTGTTCTAACAGATTTTGGGAAGAAAATAGGAAGAAATTTTGGATTAAGAAAGAGAATTTACCCAAGTTTCGGCTCTGATACCAAATTTGATTCGGGACGAATTAAAAAATAAAAAGAAGAAGCAAGAAAGAAGGGAGAATCGGAGAGAATGGAGGGAGAAAAAGGAGAAGAAACAGAAATTCATGGGGGAAAGGGAGAGGGAGAATAAGGAGAAGCCATTGGCAATAAACCACCAAAATATCCTTCAATTCATCAAAACTAATGAAATTACATCGGAATTAGGTTTAAATAGTAAAGACTAAAACCTTAAGTAGAATGGACTTGGGCCAACACAAGCCCAATTATATAAATAAAATCTAAAATATAAATAAAGTTCAACTAAAAATAAATAAAAAGTGATATCCTCATCAACCTTTTTATTGAATTGAAGGTCACAACAGTTACAAGAAAAAATAAAGTTTGTCACGTATTGATCCATAAAAAAATGTACAATTTTCTTAAGTTAACTACTGTTTATACTTGTACATGGCTAACCTGATCTTCATTTCCTCCCCCAAGCATGTCGAGAGTAAAGCCGAGCCATCAACCGTTCAAAAATCATTGACACCATGCAATCGAACATTGAGCCTTCTAAGCCAGATGGAATGAAGTATCATGTGGAAAACATCGTATCGCCTGGGAGGTGAATTAACCTCAAAATGCCGCCTCACTTGTATTCCTCGTCTTTGCATTCTTATATACTGTCTCTTCGAAATTCCAGTCAGAATTTTCTTTAGGTTCGGAATCTCCTCCACGGGAATTTCAACAACAAACGATTTCCAGTTCAAGATGTCACTAAATGGAGCAACATAGTGATCTTTTATAATCACGGGAACGCAACCAGTATATAGCGCCTCGACCATTCTTGGGCTGGCTACTTCATAACCACTAGGACAAATACAGTACTTGCTTTTTCTCATCATTTCCGAGTATGATACACTCTTTGGTAGGTACCTATGAATCTGAACATCTTCGTCATCTTTGTGTTCCCAGTGTTCGAGAAGAATTGGCCTAATAGGTCCATGAAGTCCTCCAGCAAAGAAAACCAAAATTGTTCGTCTTGATGGGGATGGACCGCCAATCAAGCCATTCATTCTACCACCAGGTAAATTAATCTCTGGAATCGACACATCTTTTGAGGGGTCGAATCCTTCTGAAGTATTTGCATTGCATAAAGCTCGAACTGAGTTGCTATACAGTTCTGGAACGGACTTAGAAAGCTCTGGCCCCTACACAGTGCAATTACTTTGGAATTAAGAAAAATCTTGAAACCTTCTATACACAAAGAAATCAGGAAATGAGAGAAATTAACGGACCCAATCGTGGCAAGCAAGCATGAAATGATCAGCTCCAAGGCTACGATTCCAATAGGGATATTTTCCGGCGACAAGATGAATGTAGTCACTGACAGTTTGTTTCATCGGACGCCATTTATCGGGAGCACCTCTATCATAAATAAAGTGAACTATGGATGCTACGCTGAATGGAAGGAAGTAAATGTGCGCGTTTTCAGGATCCCTCGTCCTAAACTTGGAAATCTCCAAGCGATAAATAAAACCTCCCTCCGTAGAGTATATGCTTCCACACGGACCATTGTGAAAAACCGGGTGCTCGCCTTCTTCGTACACGAAAATCTTGAAGCGCTTTTCCATTTCCAAGTAACTCCTAAACGAAAAGGGTGAGGATGATTCATTGAAAAGCCAAAAAGGATACAGACCTCCTTGGATTCATATGCAACGAAATGTCGAGTGTGCAACGAGACAAATAAAGCGTATGTACCTGTGAAAGGCTTTAGGATTCAAGTATACTGGACCGTCTGGAATGTAGTCTGGATCTTGACTTCGATTTCCCATTTGTGAATCTCTAATTGCTGTTCGAGCTTGCTGAAGTTTGGCCTCAAGCCTTTCCATATTGCTATGTTTTTTAATTATTCTTGAATTTAATGGCTGAGTACCAGTTTCGTTTGAAAATGGTAAGACATGGGATCCATTAATCGAAGTTTTTGAACTCTCTCCCTTCTCTAGCTGTATTTAAAGTGATACATAGATTAGATATATCTATAACAAAAACTTGGAAAATCATAGCTAAATTTTCAACGTCTATACCGATACTCAAATAAACTGATAATTATATTCAAAATTCAGTTATTTTTCTAGATGAGACATAGGCCTAACAAACTCTAAAGTTTCTACTCCATGTAGTAGAGAGTGTCCGATCCTCGTATCCATTGATAAGGACCAATTCTTGACTAAAGAACTGAATCCACCCGTTGTCAAAATGGATAGGCCGGTCCAACCGGTGCCAAACATCTTGTTTACTCTTTCAGTTTTTCTCAAAATCAAACTGATTTTTTTACCCACTTATTTAGCTAAAAGGACATTAAAATTTAAATCAAGGTCAATATTTCATGAAATTCATAACTTTCAATTATATATGTCATCAATCTTTATCGAAATTTACTAAAAATAAGATTTTTTTTATCTAAACCAGAGACTTATTATTCTAAATCACATGATTTTTCTACTGCTTTATAATTCCGAATTTTTTCAAAGGGTAAAAATTATTTAAGAAAAATTAAATAATCAAATAGCAAAGAAGAGCAAAGGAAAAGAGAGAGAGAGAGGGAAACAGTATATCTTCTTACAGATTGTTCTTGAGCAGTTATTTCTCTCTCTTCAACGGCCAGCGACGGCGTAACAGACTGGTTTAGAACATAGTCACCTGAATGCGCTTCCTCTCTTTCCCCAACGCCACCCGCCATTGGCCGCAATTCCCAACGCTCTCCAGCGTCCACTGTTGGCGCTACAGAATCGCTGCCACCGCCGCTAGTTATAGAACTCCACGCAGAAGAATAATAGTCCGAGGAAAACAGCCCACCGGAGGACCTAGAACAGCCAAAAACCACCAGCAGCGACGCCACAATTAATGGCACCACAAACCCCATCAGCCTTGTTGAAGATGATGACGTTTTCCACCATAAACACACCCTTTTCTTGCACCCTTCCATAGCTGCACCCTTCAATATTTCTCAATTTATGTTCTTGAATCTTGAATATGTGTGTCTGTTGGAAAAGGGGATGAATAAAAGACTGTTGCACCGCGCCAACTCGCCAAGCCTCCACTGGTTTTGGACACTGTATTCGAGTTTTTCACTTTCTCTTCATGCAACAATGAAATCCTTTTTTTCTATTTCCAGCTCTACCCTCTTTTTTAATTAGGGTCCGTTTGACTGCAAAAGTGATATTTGGATGGAACGAAAACGAATTCGGAATTGAATTGATGAGAAATTATTTTCCTAGGAATTGTAAATATTGTGTTTGATTGATATAATTTTCTACATGGAAAATGTTTAAATTAAAGTTTTTTTTATATTCGTTTGGTTTTGTTTTACATGAAAATTTTCAATTAAAAGGAAAT